AGGGAGGTTGTGGAATCTCCATCTCTGGAGATATTTAAGAGTAGGTTAGATAAATGTCTATCAGGGATGGTCTAGACAGTATTTGGTCCTGCCATGCGGGCAGGGGACTGGACTCGATGACCTCTCGAGGTCCCTTCCAGTCCTATAATCTATGAATCTATGAATCACCAAGCAAACAGGAAGGGGACTTTTAAAATTCCAAAGCAATTTATGGTGTGGGGATGACGGTTGGTCACCTGAGGGCAGGGCAGTAGAGTTCAAACTGATGACCAGAGAGGCAAGAACAGGTATTGTGGGACACCTCTGGGAGGCCAATTGCAGCGCTGTAGTTGACCAGGGTGTCTACACTGGCACCACGGTGCAGTACCCCCGGTGCAGAAAACTGTATACCTCTCATCGGTGTGGGTTTTTTTTGTTTGTTTTACAGCGTTGCAACTGCACAGTTTCTGCACAATAAGTGGCTTGGCAGTGTGTACGTCTCGGGAGTTACAACGCAGAAAGCTGCTTTACTGGTAGAAACTTGCTAGTATAGACAGGGCCTTAGGGATAGTATATTAAATTAGTGTGAAATTGACAGGTTTGGGTCAGCCCTTCATCCTTTGAAGGTCACCAATGGGTGAGGATTTCAGATGAAATCTAAAAAATAGATGAGAGCCTACCTGTTCTACATGGATAGATGGTAAGAACCAAATTTTCAAAGCAACCTCAACCTGTCTTCCAATTGCAGGACACAAACAGAAAATGGTCAAATCACTGCATGTGCTATTTTTTAACACTATTGCTTATGCCCAGAGAAAATTTACATATATGAAGCCCAATTTCTGTTTCACTTGCACACACAAATGGGATTTTTCACATTTAAAGTTTACCATTTGGATGCATAAGTGCTGGTGCTCCAAAAATTCTGCACTCAAAGTGCACACACATACAGTCTGTTTTTTGAAAAATTGGCCCTAAAGTTCCCATGATTTTTCATATTGTGATGCATTCTCCATGAGCCTATCCTTGAAGACCACTTGAAAGCTGTGGGTGGTGCAGAATGCAACTGCATGCCTTCAACCTATAGCTGCAGAAAATATGACTGCAGTTTCTGACAAGTGGGCAGGCTTTCTGTTGGCTTCCAGATGCATTTCCTAGGGTTGACATTGAGCTAAAAGTCTTGTGTGTGTTTGTGTCCTGACTATCTGAGAGACCACCTCACCCCCATTAGCTATAGCAGCAGAGTACTTGAGCTAACAGTCCCACAGTTAAACGTCTGCAAGCTGGTGGCATGGTGTTCTCTGTAGATTAGATTACCTTCAACTATTCATTTATCCCCCCTTTGTCCAGCAGAGCGTGATTCTGATGATATGTAGGGCACATTGTTTGTTCTTAACTCTTCTATTTCTGCTTGTTGCCTCAGGATGATGAGGGTGATTGGATGGACTGGTGTATAGCAGACCCTACCCGATAGCTGCTATAATGTGGGTATAAGTTATAGTTTCTGTGGAAAACCTATAATTGAATTTTCTAGAATTTTATGTGATTAAATTGTGAAGCAAAATATTGTCTTAAAAGAGGGGGTTTTCACCCCCTTCACATAACACAAGAACCAGGGGTCACTCGATGATATAAATAAGCAGCAGGTTTAAAACAAACATAAAGAAGCACTTTTTACACAACACACAGTCAACCCATGGAACTCGTTGCCAGGGGTATTCTGAAGGCCAAAGGTATACCTGGGCTCAAAAAAGCCAAGTTGGTCAGGGACAAACCACCATTCTTTGGGTGTCCATAAACCTCTGACTACCACAAGCTGGCACTGGATGACAGGGGATGGATCACTCAAAATTACCCTGTTCATTCTCTCTGAAGCATCTGGCACTGTTGGAAGACAGGTTACTGAGCTGGATGGACCATTTTTCTGATTCAGTATGGACATTCTTGTGTTCTTAAATGTTGTTTCTTTTTAAGAAGACCAGAAGGGAATGGCACAGCATGCATTTATTTGAATTTGCAAATTTTTACAATGTAAAATTGGTAAATGAATCTTTTTGATCAAACAGCGAATAACGCATTAAATGTGCTTAGATGCGTCTGTGTAATTTTTTCCCTCGGATTTTACTTGTTAGTTTTCTTCTGTTTAGCACTTTCCTACTTATTCATCTATTTTATTAAGTACTTTGAATAGAGCTGGTTGAAACTTTTTTCTGACACAGATGGCTTTTTGACTAAATAGAAATTTTCACAAGTATATGTTTGGTTTTCATTTAATTTTTTTCTTGTTTAGGTTGTCAAAAACTGGAGACGCTTTTAGTTTCAGGTTTTTTTTTTCAGTGAACCCCCCTAAAATTCCATGAAATATTACAACAAAAGCAAAAATATATATCTTTCTTGAACTTTTTAAAGCAAATAACATACATTTTTGACGAACTTGTGTTTTGAAGAAAGCACTTGCTTTTAGTAAAGCTATGATGAAAAATATAATTTTAAAAATTTAATTTTTTTATCTTGAGAAATTTGGGGCCAACTACTGCCATCGTTACTCTGACAAAACTCTCATTGAAACCAGTGAAATGTTTTTCTTAAATGAGTATGGATTTAGAACTGCAGGATTTGGTTCTTTTGAAGGAAAAGTAAGAAAGTATTGCTGTTTTGTCAGTCAGTGAGGAGAGAAAAGAGACTATTTTGTATGACATTCTGCCTCAAATGAAAGTAAGAAGTTCATACAAATCTCCCTTGTGTAATATTTTTCTAGCCAAGAGATATGACAGACAGGAAGTATTCTATTCATAAAGCACCTGCTTCATATGGGAAGATGTAAAATATTCTAAGGGTATTCCAGTAAAAATTGAAGTAAAGCTCTCTCTTTCTCTTTTTCCCTCAATAGTTGGGAAGAACATCACTGGCAATGCACCTTACTTTCTGATATTTGTTACTAAAGAAAGCTCCCAGTTCCAGAAGAGACTCTAATAGGAGTATATAACAACAATACTCGGCTTAAGAAAGGTAAGGAAATAATTGGTCTCCAGGTTTTGAAGTAATACTGTAAGGAATATCTTGGTTTTAACAGTTCAAGATGTTGGGTGGAGAGGGAGATGTGAGAGAAAGTAGATAATTGATAAGAAAAGGATGTGTCTTAGCTATTATGCCTTGAGTTGTAAACATATAAAACAAGAAACTCTAACTTCATGCTCAAGGTAGAAAAGCGTCCAAATGTGTATGTTACTGTACTTCCAACCACCACTATGTATGGAATCAGACATTTTACTTTCTTCTCAGCCAAAAGGGTCAACATGGGCTATCCAAAGGTTCAGGAATGTCTCAGGTCTCCTGTGCAACTCTGTTTTGCTGAGATAGACATTTTTCATGTTTGCAGAATGTGTCACCATTGGCAAATTATTGACAAGAAGTGATCCATCCTTTTAAAATCTAAAGTACTGATCTGCACTTCATTTCTTAATGGAGGATTTTAAATTGACTAGTGGCACATAAAATATTCTTAACTCTCCTGTCCCAATGCCATCAGCACCTACAAGAAGAAGTTGGAAACAGATAAAACTTATTATAAATATTTCTAATTAAGGTGGAATGACAATAACAGAGGATAAATACTTTGCACACCTCACTTCATATACTTTCCTGTATGGACAGATCATATGAATTGTACATGGTCGTTTTTAATATCTCAATTTGTATATTTGGCTAAGCTTGCAAAGGCTTCACACTCATCTTGATGTCATTTCTATGTTAGTCTATCTTTGTACCAGTATGTAATGCGATAACTTTTGAATGGCGCATTAAATCAATTCCAAAATTTCAAGTAATAGTGTAGGCATTAATGGCGAGAACCCCATTGATTTGGGGGGGAAATTGCAAAACTAAAAGGAGGAAAAATGGGAACCCATGTAACCCTGCCATCTGTTTAGCACAGCTAACAGCTTCAATCACCTCTACAATTGTGTATCATTCAAACCACTGGCTGATGGCACTTAGGTGAGCGGCAGACACCACCAATCTGATTGACTTAATGTACCCTCTCTCCACACATGCACATCATATGTTATTTGAAAGCTCACGTCTACTTTAAGATTGAGGTATTATGTGGAACAGTCATGTGGTGCCATTCCTATATAAAGGGGAATAAACAATGACACCATCAACATGTTAAAGTGACCACTTTGAAGGATCTGCATTCATTTTTATTAGTTTAATGACTCCGTGTATTATTTCAAGACATAAAATTGGATTATTTTTTGTGACCTCAAAGGATCACAACAACAATCTAAAAGGTAAAACAAAATCTAATAAGAAATTTTTATATGTATCATTGAAATGCAATAGCGTTGGTGACACTTCTAGTCCACATCATTATCATCAGCTTGTTCATCATTATGATCTCTGTCAAAAGTGTATGGTTTACCACAGTCTTCATTGCCTTGGCATGCACACAGTTCTTTGCAGGGAAGCTTGTTCTGACTACGGACACAGTTGACTGTGCAGCAACCTGTACCAGTACAGGCACAAATAAGGTCCTGTAGAAGCTCAGGTGCCATTGGGTCCTTGAAGAATATGAGTAGTAGTTCATTGTCCACTTTTTTCCATTCTTGTTGCAATGGTGATCCAATACTTTGTCTGTCTACGTGTGAAGCCATCCAAATCTTAAAAAAAAAAAAAAAAAGCAGGAGTACTTGTGGCACCTTAGAGACTAACAAATTTATTTGAGCATAAGCTTTCGTGGGCTTCATTGGATGCATAGAATGGAACATATAATAAGAGTGTGTATATATATACATACAGAGAAGATGCCATACGAGCTCTAAGAGGCTAATTAATTAAGATGGTCAATTACAGACAGTTGACAAGAGGTGTAAGGATAGTTACCATAAGGAAATAGATTCAAGTAGTGTAATGACTCAGCCACTCCCAGTCTCTATTCAAGCCAGAGTTAATAGTATCTAATTTGCAAATCAATTCAAGCTCAGCAGTTTCTCGTTGGAGTCTTTTTTTGAAGTCTTTCTATTGCAAAATTGCCACCTTCAGGTCTGTTACTGAGTGGCCAGAGAGGTTGAAGTGTTCTCCTACTGGTCTTTGTATGCCAAGATGTTCTTTTGACCTGCTCTTCAAAGCTATCTTCACATGGTGGGAGTTTGGCCAGTGACTGTCCTTTTGGATGGCTAGATTGAGGCACAAGGAATTCAGGTCTCTGGGCCTATTCTTTTTCTCTTTGATCATACAGCATTGCCACCAACTTCCTTGCTACAGAAATTGTAGATTACTTTTTGATGGTGAGTCGGTTCTGGATGTGATCTAGGTTTTTCAAATTCTGCATACTGCATAAGAGACTCTGATTGCCTGGGGAGCGTAAGTGACTTTTCTTTCCAATGCTTCAGTGATATTTCTTGTGATGCTGGACTGTCTGCAGACTTTTCTTGATATAGCACTCTAGCCATTGAATGGAAGGTATTCTTTCTATCAGCAGTCTCTGTGCGGATGTCTGTATTATCATCATCTTTATGGATGAGATTTCCACCAGCATGCAGTGGCACAATTCCATTTGGAATGAACATACTTCCCTGGAATATTTCTACTTCAGTTTTTGCAGCACTAATGATGAACCACCTCAGCTCATCATAATTCATGCGGAATCCATGAAAGTGTAATATTTCAATTACATTGAGAATTCATGGTGTAGCTGTGCAGCAAGGCTTCTATGGAGTTGTGTTATAATTTTGGTGTTACATGATATACACTTCACATTTGAGAGGCACCTTCTTTGAACGTCTTCTGAAGGATGCTGCTCACTGCAGGCTGAATTATATGGCTTTTTTATCTATCAACCAAAGGACAAACTCCTGCACCACTTGGGGCACAAAAGTAGCTGACTTCTGTAAACAATCACTTGGCTTTGGATAATATTCTGAGGTTTTCATTTTGGCTATTTCAGACCAAAGCACTGAGGTGGGCACTATAAAAAGAACACTTGTTCATTGGCAAGTTGTTCATCAGGCTCCTTTGCCAGAAGAACATCCACAAAACATTTGGATGATGCAAGTTTCTGCATTACATTACTAGCAGATTGAATAGCATCAGCTAATGTTATTGTTGTTTCACTACATAGAACAATGGTAAATTTGCCTTGTCCATGCTGTGCATAGAATGAAATTGCAGAACCATAGTATTTTTTCTAATCTTGCCTGTAATTTACTACTGGAATAGCTTGCAGTTTCTACAGCTGAGGGAAGTAGGGCTTTATATCTTTGTTGCTGCATAGACAGGAGAAGAGCCGCCTTGTTGTACACAAGATCATTGTCTATCTCTTCAATCAGCTGATAAAATGCAATGTCTTATGTTGCCCATATTGCTGCAGTGTAGGTAGCTGGTTTTGCTTTAAGATTAGTTTTACTCACATAGGAAGAAAGGCATGTTGAGTGATAAACTACATCCTTAGTAATCAAGTCTTCTGCAGATATTCTGCACACTATGTCATCATCTCCTCTTTGATGTGCTCTCTCAAATGTTTCTGTTTTATGAGGGAACGGCGAACCGCAGCCACTGGGAGCTGCGGGCGGCCGTGCAAATGTAAACAAACTGTCTGGTGGCCCACGAGCAGATTACCCTGACGGACCGCAAGTTGCCCACCACTGGACTAGAGGCTACACTGTATGTACAAAAGCTTGCAGATGGAGAACATTACATTAGGAATTCACATTAATTTATATCTACCCACTATACAGTACAAATTACGGGCACGTATTCTCAACCTGCAGCATGAGACTGATCGGGTCAGGAAATTTCAACTAAAAATATAGAAAACTATTATAATCACTTGTGAGATATATTCTGAATTGTCAGAGTATTATGTGAAAACGTTTCATGTAATATTTTGCAAAATATTGATATTTGCCGTTTTTGACACGTGCTAAACAGGTTCATCGTTTCTGAAAAGAAAATACTTGCCTATGCCAAACCAATAATGTTTTTAAAATACATTGTTGTTTGCTAGCTTTTATGAATAAATATCACATTAAGGAGTGAAAATTAACTTAAACTGTAGTCCTAATCATGTGGTAGTGTTTCTGGAACTGCAAAAAATGACACTTTCTCATTCTGGGTACCATTGTTTCACCTCACCTGTAGGCTTACAGCACTACTTGAAAGCTCCACATCATACCTCACCTAAATGTACATAAAATAAGCGTTCAAATGATATCTGATGTGGGTGTGGCCACTTTTGGAGAATGGCCACATGCCAATTAACACCGTCCAGCCAAACAATGTCCCTGCTCATCCTCCCAATAGAGTTTAACATGTTGACATCCTGAATAACTTGTCTCCTAGACAAATAATAATGATGGGGGTAGAGAATGGGGGACCCAAGTATGGAGGAAGCGAATAATGGGAGGCACACAGAATGGAGTATGGGGGAAGACTGGGGAAACCGGGTATGGGGATGGGAAGCATGCGGAGCCTCTCCTGTGGAGGTAAGGGAATACTGGAGGGCATGGGGGAAGTGGGAATGTGGACATATATAGAGCTGCTGGCGGCATTGGGGGGAAATGGGCGACCCTCAGATGGGAGGAGAAGGGAATAGTAGGCACACAAAACCCCTGGCAGGAGGAAGTTTGGATGGAGTCCTTAAAATAGAGGGGAATGAGAAGGTGGCATGTAGGGAGGTTGTGGGGTGGAATGGAGGAATGCAAAGAGCTGCTGGTGCAGTGTTCTTAGCCTACAGAAGCAACGAAGTATGTGACTCCCCAGTATAAACGTATAATAGTACATCTGTATAAATTTAGGTCCAGTTTTTTACTTAATGGAGGGATTTAACCTCTTTGTTTTGTATGAAGAATATAGTGTGTCTTCCTACATTTATTACACATAATCTGGGGATTAAAGATGAATTTTCAGCTAATTCTGTTAGTTAATTTATGGGGGTGGCATTAATTTTAGCAAAAGAGTTAAAATAAGATCAGGCAGCAAACATTACTTAACTTTTTTTAACAAATGAC